CCAGGCCAGGCCAGGCCAGCCGGCCAGGCCAGGCCAGGCCAGGCCAGGCCAGGGTTAGGTTAGGTTGTCTGATTCTCATAAGACCTCTTCTTGAATTGTTGATTTTTTTACTTCTATGTTGGGCCCTTTGTTGATCTATACTGAGCCAGAACTATATCTCATAGAAGTAGTTTGGATTATCTGGTGCTAATATGGTGTTGCACTAGAATACAGGAAATGGCATCTACTTAGTTGGAAATGTTCTGGGGGAAGACCCCAAGACCCCTTAGGGATTTATTTCCTTCATACATCCATGTCTCTGTGTGTTCTTCACAGTCCATCTGGAAATCCACACAGTTCTGGTGGATGCTGATCTCAACAGCAAACTAACCTTGGAGAAATCATCTCAGTTAGTCTGTTTGCCATATAATGTGCTATTTGTATAACATGTAAAACATGTCTAAAGTGCCCCCTACAGTGGTGAGGACCTGCTATATGTGCCCTTTTTTTTCTTTTCCGCCCCTGCCCTTCAAAAAGTCTGTGCACGCCACTGCTCACCATGTCATAGAATCACCTCTTCAGTTTCCCACCTATGTGTCGTCTCAAGGTTGCCTTAATTTCATTTATCCACTTTCACTGGTTTCAGCTTAACTAGTTTATGACTCGACTCACTGCCTGCTCGGCTGTCGCTTTGACTGAGCTGTTGAACGTCAACCTGGAGGGGGTGGGACTTAATTCCCTCTCCAATCAGATATCTGTATTGAATGATACAGCCAATAAGAACCAATACTGAGCAACTTCCTTTGACTGACACATTTTTTAGCAAACAAAGTAAGAATGAGTTAAATTCTGTAAAGAAGATATTTGTGATGGGGACATAATCCTAACTGGTCACTTCCAAATTTACACTGAAAATTCAATGATCTGCCACTTTTTGGGTTGTTTTGCTTTTGCCTGGCAACTGCACTGGTTGTCGCCATCACACAATTACTTGTGCTTTCTAAATGGACAGATTGATATCCCTAAAGTTTAACTGATTTGGTGTTATACTGTAATATACTTTTATGAGCAGTGAATTTCCACTGTATTACAGATTCCTCTGTATTACCAACCACCACTCTATTTACACAATCATTTCTCCACATTTGGGTGGCTGTGGTTCCTCCCATCAAAAAATATGTATAAAAATACATGTAGGGCTATACTATGCTAAGGGCAGTAAAGGGGAGATAGGGAAAGACCAACAACGACACCTGGAGAGAATTAACCACAAGAAAAATACTTAAATAACCTCTAACCTTAAATATTATTTGATAGTTAATAAGTGGGCACCTAGGCTAATTTCTGATGTAAGACTCTTTCCCAATTAACCAAATGTTTTATTGAAATACTAAAAACAAAAAAGCAGGGACTGGAGCTGCTGAAAAATAAAGATGTTTAAGAATCAAAGAAAAAATGTAAATGCACAATGTGATTAAAAATACATTATTACAATTACTCTAAATAAAAATTACCTAATACAATATCTAAAACCCTTAATTAACAATAATATCACAAGCAAAATAATAAGTCCAACCTAAAGTAACCAAAACTAAGGAGCATGATCTCAGGCCACCAATGGAGAGGCAGACTACACTGAGGAGAGGTGCTCCCTCTTATTCACCCCTATAAACACAGCAATCCTTACAGCAAAGGTGCATTCTGCATAAACCAGTGCTTTTACTCACATGCATCAAGAGTGGAGATCTCACCACGAGTGCCTAGCCTTACCACAATATGCCCCATGCTCCAAACACATATGCTGCATTGCCACAGCTGAGATGTGCATGAGGTGGACATGACACATGCAACTCAGGCAGTCTGACTGCTCCAATTGTTAACATGGATGCCGACATAAAAGCAAGATGTGTTCTACCGCACACATGCTGCTCAGCTTGGTAGTTTGAACTGAGGGGTGTGATTGTCAAACCAAGAGAATGTGGAGTGCACAAGTGAGGAGACAAGAGATGGAGATGCACGTAGTCAGCTTACTCTCCACTTCAATATCATAACACACTGACACGCAGGTGAGGTCAGAAACGGCCACACAACGTTAACCCGGAACCGGCAT